TTGTATAAGATAAGGTCTACAATTATTCACCACTGTATGTGCCAGGCTAGCTGGCTTGCAAGCTTCCAGAGATTCTTTCTCTCTCTCTCATCCTGCTGGGATTACTGACATGCTCTACCATGTTGTTGTACACAACTGTCCTCAACCCAGATGCCATTTTCAGGAGTTTAGCTGTACCCCGCTTGAAAAATATCATCACACCTGGTTTTGTTGATTACTGACTTTGCCTCATTGAAGGAAGTCTTGGGAGAGTCATGAGACCTTCACATGAACATCTAGCCACTCTTCCCAACCTGTTGCAATTTGACCCTAATTTCATGTGGCTTCATGGAAGGGCTACAGTAAGAGTATATAGGTCAGGAAGACCAGACGAAAAGGGGCTCCATTTATGTAGCTATGGGAAAACCATCATCTATGCTGGCTCAAGACTTTCCTGTATGGTCTTAGAGCACCCACATTCCTGTAAGTAATCCCTCACCCATTGCTCTGTAAGTAGGACCAATAAATTCATTAGTTTCCCAGGGTGAACTTTGCTGAAATTGTACCTCAGATTGTTGTTGGGACTAAGGAAGGAAGGGTTGGATGATGTTTACACTTTCTATCCCAGGGACATAATTTTAGCAATACATGTCCAGCTTTGTGAGTTCTGAGGCTCCGAACTTTGGTCCTCATGCTTGGCCAATGAGTTTTGTGTGTTGTTTGTATACTGCTTCTTTGCTAAAAGTTTTTATCCACTCTGAAAGTTTTCTGGTGACATTGTTAAGAGTCTCATGTGTAGTATCATCTGCAAATAAGGATGCTTTGACTTCTTCCTTTCCTAGTTGTTTTTTGTTTTTTGGTCTTTTTGACAGGGTCTCCTTGTAGCTCCAGCTGTCCTGGAACTCACTAGATAAACCAGGGTGGCCTTGAATGCACAGAGATCTGCCTGCCTCTGCCTCCCAAGTGCTGGGATTAAAGATGTGCACCATTACGCCTGCCTTCCTTTCCTATTCGTAATTCCTCATATTTGCTTCTCTTATTTCTCTAGTTGACTTCCATTACTGTATTGATGAGAGTAGAAAAAGAATAGACAATCTTGTTTTATTCCTGATTTTAGTGGAAATGTTTTGAGTTTTTCTTCATTAAGAAGAATGTTGGCAATAGGTTTATTGTGTATCACCTTTATTATGTTGAAATATGGTCCTTATATCTGTTTCTTCAGAACTTTTATAATGCAGGGATGCTGGATTTTGTAAAAGTCTCCTCATGAATCTATTAACATGATTGTGTAATTTATGTTCTTAAGTCCATTTATATAATGCAGTACATTTATCCATCTGTGCATGTTAAATCAACCCTGCAACTCTGGAATAAAGTCAACTTGATCATGGTGAATGATCTTGTTTGGCTTGAAGGTATTTCGTTGAGAATTTTTTCATCTATGTTCTTCAGGGAGATTAGTCCATAATTTCATTTTCTTTTTATGTGTGTATTCATGTCTGTGTGAGTGTGGGGACATGTGTCATGGCACATATGTGAAGGTTTTTTTTTTTCTTGTTCAATGCTGTATATATCAGACTAGCTGGTCTGTGAGCTTCCAGCAAATCTCCTGTTAAAGTATGGAAATTCAGCTTTTGTTCTCGGCCTTTTATCTCTATAGTATTCATCTGAATCTTATGTTACTTCTGTTCTGTACACTTCAAATTCTCCTTCAGTGTCCCTGGTCAGAGTTTTAAATTTTTTATTTGGCTTTGGGGATTGAACTTAGGGCCTCATGCTTGCTAAGCAAGAAGTGTTACTTTAGCACAAAAGTTCTATATTGACTAAACAGATGTCTACTTTTTTGTTGTTGTTCTTGTTGTTTGGTGTTGGAGATCAAACTCAGGGCTTCACACAAGCTAAATGCATACTACAACTGAGCTACACCCTCAGTCTAGCTCATTCATTGAGTGCAAACAAACGCTATTAGTTCTGGGTGAGGCCCAGAATAGGAGACTCTGCAACAGGTTCATGCTGCTGCTCTTATGCAGACCACTCTGTCATTTGGGCCATACAATCCAGCAAAGCCAGTGGTGTTCGAGGTGTCTGTGGCAGACATGGATGTGTTTTAGAGCCTGTGACAGGCCCCATAGGTGCATTATAGCACAGCCCCTTAGGATTTTGGAGAAAAGCCTAACTTTTTTTTTTCTTTTTGTCTTTTTGAGACAGGTCTCCCTGTAGTCCCAGCTGTCCTGGAACTCACTGTGTAGACCAGGCTGGCCTTGAACTCACAGACATCTGCCTGCTTCTGCCTCCCAAGTGCTGGGATTAAAGGCGTGCGCCACTACGCCCGGTGAAGCCCAATGCTTTATACAGATAACTACTCTCCTTTTGAGAATTGGCTTTTTGCCTGCTGACTCCTCCTGTTATGGTTCTCAATCAGAAATAACATCTTTTGTTTGCATTCAATGAATGAGCTCAGCTGAAAGTGTACTTCAGTGGTACTGCGCACCTACCATGTCTGAGGCCCTGGGTTTGGTCCCTAGCATCAAACAAAGGACTTTGTTATCTGGGTTCTATAGGAAAGCAGAACTAGTAGGATACATGGACACACACACACACACGCATGGCTCATAGGATCAGAGGCTGAAAAATTCCACATTAGCCATCTTCAAACTTGATAACCAGAGAAGCTGGTGACATGGCTCAGTCTAAAAAACAGCAAGCCTCAGGAAGACCAACAATACAGCCCCTAATCAAAGATCAAAATCCTGAGCTCCTCTGGAGGGTCTTTAGTGCAAGTCCTAGTGTCTACAGGCTGAAAAAACTGGAGTCTGATAGGGAAAACTCAAGGAGAAAGAACCAGAGGGAGTTCTCATTTCCTATTCTCTCTGGGTTCCCAGAGGACTGGATAGTGTAGGCCCACACTGAAGGCAGGTCTTTCCCACTCTTTGCTGACCCTAATTCCAGTCTTCTAGGAAACACCTTATCGATACAAACAGAAGTAATGATTTTCTAGTTATCTAAGTATCCCTCAATCCAGACAAGCTGATACCCAAAATTAACTACCATACAACCTGAATACTTAATCAGAGATCACAAAGTTACTGAATGGACAAAAGAGATGAGAATATCTGTTTCCAGTGTAAATGCTCACCAAAGGGTGACTTAGCAGAGGAGTAGTTTTTTTAAAATTTTGAGATGGTCTTGCGATGCTGCCCTGACTGATCTTGAACCCATGGGCTCAAGTGATTGTCCTGCCTTCACTTCTAATGGCACATGCCACTGGGTTCAACACAGAAGACTTTAATAATAGAGTAGATATGATGAGCCATCTGTGAGTAACCGTCAGCCTCTCTCTTGAGCCACCAGTTTCATAACCCAATAGGCTCATGAACAAAATGGCTTTGGTGACCATTTTGCAGGGGTTTGGCAATGTGGACTTCTACTTACCGAGGTTGACCTGCCCACAGCTGCTGCAGAGTGCTCAATCTGCTAGCAATGAAATCCACCACAAAGTTCTGGATATGGATCCTTTCCCTCAAGGTAATCAGTCAGAAACCTGGTAGCACGTTGATTACATTGGGAAAAGGACAGTCTTTTCTTAATAGAATGCCACTTGATCTGGATATAGATTTGCCTTCTCTGTATGTAACACTTCTCTGCCAGAACTACTATCCACAGACTCACTCCATTATCATTATATTCTACACAGTATTGGTTCTTGGTTAAGGAATTCATAGAAATGTAGTGCATTCGGGCCCGTGATGGTACAATTTATGGGTCTTGCTGAGCTGGGGACATCAATCTACTAGTTTTATTTCTCTGGTAGGACTCAGAATGATTAAAGTACAGTCTTGTACCATGAACAGCTTAGTTAATGATGGAGCCCATGTACAACGGTGGATTGAAAAGATTGCAACAGAACTTTTAAATTCCTATTGCCTAGTGTTAGTACTGTTTCTTTTCTAGGTTTAGTATACAAAAACTATTATATTACAATTATCTACAATGTTCAGTGTGGCAACATGCTATACAAGTTTGGAGCCTAGGAACAATGTCTACAGTGTATAGCCTAGTTAGGTAGTAGGTGCTACCATCCAGGCTTTTGTAAATATACCATATCAACAATGAAATAGTCTAGGTGAGGCATTTCTCAGAACACACTTGTCTTTGGGCTAGGTGTGTTATTCATGGTGAAAGCAAGGTTCTGACTCCATGTCTGACTCCCTGTTCTGACTCCATGTCTCAGAGGCAGACATGGCTAATTCTTTTCATGTCCTTCCAAAGATACTTTGTTAACATATTTGTGCATGTAGATGAAGCATTTCCCTGCATATATTTACAAATGTTTTTATGTATTTTTACATAAAATATCACATTTTTGGTACTTTTTGGAGCTGTTCGTCAGGAAAGGCCTACGCTTCATCACTCTAGGCATCACTCTAGCTGCCTAGAGTACCACAGCATGAATTTGCCTGTCTTCATTTAGCTTATTGTTCCTGGATATGTTTTGTGTGGGTTTGGTTTTTTGTTTTTTTGCCAATGTTTCACTTTCACCAGGGGCAGTGAACTTCCTTCAGTTTTCTTCAAGCTATAACTCGGGGATGATGCTAAATTCTAAGAAACAAGATTTAAAATGGAAAGATATCGCAAATCTGCCCACCAAGACGTGATCTCATTTTCACTCCCACACCGCGGTTATGCTCACTTACCAACGGCTGGCCCAGAGCTATCAAACTTTCCCATTTTTGTAATCTGGTGTGCGCACTGTTATCTCGCTACAGGTAAGGTGGGCCCTCGCTCCCACAATTAAATGGCATCTGTATGACAAATGAGACTTTATGAACCTTGCTGAACATCCAATAAAGAAGTTACTCCATCCTTTCTGCCCCAACATAACATGGCGTCTACCACAGCTACTTCCGTGATTCACAGGAGATGAAGTTTCGCTGCCAGTATCAAAGATGGCACCCGGGCGCGCGTCCTCTCCTCTGCGCACGCGCGACTCGCCCCGCCCCTCCCGGTTCTCGATGGCTGTTTCTGGCACCACTCTAGCCAGCGCTCTCGGTGGGCACCACCGCCAGCCAATCACAGGGCGTACCGCCCGACCCCGCCCGTGGATCAGCTGAGGGACCCGCGATGTCTGTTGACAGTGGCGGCTGCAGGGCCGGCTCCGGGGTCCCCGCCGGGCGGGGGGTAAGCTGGCGGCCGATCGGGCTGGCGAGCCGACTGCGGGTGGGCCTGGCGGGGAGGGGGAGGAGACGGGCGGTGGCGCTGGGCTAAGAGGTGCCGGCTTGTTGTCCGGAGCTCGCGTTTCCGGGTCTCTGTAGATGTGAGTCCCATGGAGCAGCCCGGAGACGACGAGCAGCCGCCACCGCAGCAACCCTGGGGGAGGCTCCTTCGCTTGGGTGCCGAGGAGGGCGAGCCGCACATCCTACTGTGGAAACGGGAGTGGACCATCGGACGGAGGAGAGGTGCGGAGGCCGGGGTGGAGTGAGAAAGATACCGATTGAAGGGGTGGGCAAGGAACTAAGAATTGGGACCCAAAGCGGGGGTACCTGACTCAGGACAGGGACTGGGGGCCGAGACCAGGAACGAGGGCCTGGGCATCGTGTGGGGTTTGAGGGGGGAGCCCACAGCGGAGGATAGGGAGCCGAGGTGGGAAAATTACAGGGCTGGTGGAACAGACTACCAGAATGGGGTAGGGTGGGGGTGCAGTGGAGGTGCTGTGTGCCTTCCAGTTTTCCCATAAGATGGGCTTTCCTGTAAGACCTGCAATTTATTCACTTGTCTATGTAGTCTCTCGTGGAAATGCATCATGAAAATTATTCAAATTTTCATTACAGCTTTATAGAGCACCTGGGTCAATACATCTTTCATAGTACTGTCTTGTGTCCTTTACAATACAAAATTTCTTTGTCCACAATGGAATGAAATTAGAAATCAAGAACAAAAGGAAAACTGAAAAGTTATGCAGAAATTAGACACCACTATTAAGCAGCTGATGAGACAAAGTAAACACAGGAACATTAGAAAAGTATTTTCAGACAAATAAAAACAAAGAATATGCTGGAAGTTATGGAATACAGCTAAAGCAGTCCTCAGAGGGCAATTTATAGCTGTCACGTTTCCATTAGAAGAGATCTCAAAGTCCCAGGAGCTAGAATTTTTTTATGAACCTGGAAAGCTAAGAGTTTGAACAGAACAAAATCATACATAAAGTCCAATAAGATTTGCTTTGGGATACTAGCATACCTTTCTATAACTTTGTATCTACCTTAAGTTTGCTAGGAGGATTGATGAAATCATACATAAACTGCTTGTAAGAAACCTAGCTTGGAGGCTGGGGAGATAGCTCAGTTGGTAAAATGCTTGCCTTGTAAGCATGAGGACCTGAGTTTGGATCTCCAGGACCTATGCAAAAAGCTAGGCGTGATAGTGCATGCTTGTAATCCTAGGATTGGGGCGACCAAGACAGGAGGATCTCTTGAGTTCACTGGCCAGCTAGTTTTGAACTGTTGAGCTTCAGGTTCAGCAAGAGACTCTGTCTCAAAAAATACGAAGGAGAATGATAGAAGACAACCTGACAATGACCTCTGGCCTCTACACACACGTGAGCACATACATATTCATACACCACATGTGTACACACATAGAAGAGGTCATTGTTATTATATATTAAGATACTATATTGCATGTTAAGAAACAAAAACATGCTATTGAGTTCATCTGCTTCCTAATAGAAATCTTTTCCAGTGGATGCATTAATAATGTTAACAGTGAAAATGTGAAAGTCATTGTAGTGGTTCGTTGCTAGTACAATAAGAAAATCTACTGGTGGGTTAAGCGATAGAAATCTATGTCTCACAGTTCTGGAATCTAGGAAGTCCAAGCTCAATTCCAGAATGACCAATTTGTCTAGGTGAGGACTCTCATCCTGGCTTATAGATTGCTTACTACTAACTGTATCATCTAGTAGAGAGCTGAGCTCTGTTCTCTTGCAACAGACCTCCATCTGTATCAGATCAGAGTCCTATCCTTATTACCTCATTTAACCTTTATCACATCCTCACAGACCCCTATCTCCAAACATGGTTAATTTAGTGGGCAAAGCTTCAAGGTATGAGTTGTGGGGAGATGCAAACAATGAGTCTATAACAGTTGAAGAACTTGATATTTATTTTAAACTAATTATCCATCTGCCACATATAAGGCATTATTTGGAGGAAAGGGAACTAAGTTGATGTATAAGAAGGGCTATAAGAACCTCTATTCTAGTTTGACTTCAATTGCTGTGACAAAACACCCTGACCAATACCAACTTGGGAAAGAAAGGGTTTATTTGACTCACATCTCCCAGGTCACAGTTCATCACTGAGGCAGCCCAAGGTAGACACTCAAGGCAGGAACCTGGAGGCAGGACAGGGAGCACAGGCCACAGAGGAATGCTGCTCCCCTGCCCCATGCTCGGCCTGCTTTCTTATATAATACAGGACCATCTGCCCAGGGGTGGCACCACCCACAGTGGGCTGGACCTTCCCACATCACTCAAAAATCAAGAAAATACCTCACAGACATGGCCACAGGCCAGTCCAATGGAGGCAATTCCCCAATTGATGCTCCCTCTACCCACGTGTGTCAACTTGACAACTAAAGCTACCCAGCACATCCTCATCTTCCCACGTGGTAGAAATGTACACCAGCCATGGGAGAGATTTAATCCACTACATGGCCCACTACAAGATGCCAAGAGTAGAACTTAGTATAAAACATCCTGGTTCCAAATTAGAATTTGCCTTTTCTGGTGTGAGGAATCTCCTAAAAACCCAGTCTGGTGACTAAGTTGGGAGTGGCTGCTTAGGAGGTGTGAATGAATCATTGTGGTTGTGCCAGGTAGAGTGGGTATGGATAAATATAACAGAGTGCTTCCTGTAACACAATGTTTATTCAAGGGCTGGTGAGATGACACAGCAGGTAATGGTACTTGCCTCTTAGCCTGACAAACCATGTAGTAGAAGGAAAGAACTAAGTGGAGTTGTTCTCTGACTCTGACTTCACAAGTACACCATGGCACATGCATGCCCCCCCCATAAGCAAATGTCAATTTAAAAAATTTAATATTTTATTTATATATTTTTTTATTTATTGGTATTTTTGAGACAGGGTCTCCCTGTAGCCCCACCTGGCCTGGAACTTGCTATATAGACCAGGCTGGCCTCAAACTCACAAAGATCTGCCTGTCTCTGCCTCCTGAATGCTGGGATTAAAGGCGTACAGCACCACACCCTACTCTTATTTTTATTTTTTATATGTATGAGTGTGCATGTGTGTAAGTGTACCTTTGTTGTGCAATGCCTGCAGAGGTCAGAAGAGAGCATTGGGTTCCCCTGGAACTGGAGTTACAGACATTTGGGTTGTTAGCTGCCATCTGGGTCCTGGGAATCAAACCTGGGTCCTCTGCAAGAGCAGCCAGTGCTCTTAACTGCTGAGCCATCCTATAGCTCAAAATAAAACAATTTTTAGATTTAGAAAAATAAGATTTTCTTTTGAGGTAGGGTGTGTTTGCTGTGTACCAGGCAGACCTTGAACTCTTAAATTCATAGAAATCCACTTGCCTCAGCTTCCGTAGTGTTGAGATCACAGGTTTGCACAGCCTTCAAATGGATGCAAATAAAGTGTTTGTTTGTTTTTGAGGCAGGATCTCAAATTGCCCTGATTGGTCTGGAACTCACTATGTAGACCAAGCTGGTCTTGACCATACAGAGATCTTCCTGCCTCTGCATCCCAAATGCTGAGTTCACAGGCATGCATAACAATGCCAAGTGCAAATAAGATTTTTAATCCAGTTTTATAAACCTATTGTTTACATAGGTAAAATGCTCCTCTTTTGGTTTTTAGTTCTAAGATGTTAAATGGAACTATCAGCATTTAGGAGGCAGGACATTTCTCCCAGCCTAGAAAGTCCCCAAGTCCCTTCATGCTCTTTAGAATCCATCCCTTTCTCTCCGCCCCAGCTCCTGGCAACTACTGATCTGATCTTTATCCCTGTACTCCTTCCTTTTCCAGAAATGTCACACATTCCACTAGTCTTTTATATACCACTGTTAACTGCTTTTCATTGGAGTAATGCTGTTGAGATTTATTCTTTGCCATTGCATGTCTCAGTAGTTTATTCTTTTTTGTTGTTGGGTAGAGTTTCATTATTTGGATATACCAGTTTGTTATGGTTAACTACTACTTATACACATTTGTATTGTTTCCTATTTTGGTTATCAGAAATAAAGCTGCTGTAAACAGTACAGGTTTCTGTGTGGAATACATTTTTATTTTTCTTAGCAAAATTCTGGGAGTGGGATTGCTGGTCATGTGGCAAGTGTACATTTACCTTGATATGAGGCTGCCAAACTGTTTTCCAAAGTGGTAATATTTTACTTTCCCACAAGCAGGACATGATCAGAATTAGAGTTTGGGGCTGGGGAGATGGTTCCATAGGTAAAAATCACTTGCCATGCAAGCCTAAAGATCTGTGTTCAGATTCCCAGAACCTATGTAAAAACAGGATGCAGTAATACAAGTAGTCCCAGAACCCCCTTGTGGGGTGGTAGGAAGTGAGGACAGAAGTTAGCTTGACTTACACCGCAGCAAAGAGTTCCCATCTCAAATAAAGTGGAAAGGTGAGAACCAACATCTGAAAATTGTCCTCAGACCTCCACACTGAAAGCTTTATGAGATTGTGAATGAATTGCCTTGAATGTGTGGCACAATCCAGGAGAGACCTGGTATCTTTTTTTTTTTTTTTTGGTCTTTTTGAGACAGGGTCTCCCTGTAGCCCCAGCTGGCCTGGAACTCCCTAGGGAGGCCCGGCTGGCTTTGAAAC